TTTTATTTGAAGCAGGCTTTTATTAGAGGCAGGCCTTTATTTCTAATTTGCGATCCCCGCCCGCCCGCCAGCCAAGTTTCCATGGTGACGCGTCATGCTTGGCACGTGTTCACCACAGCCAAAATAGCGCTGTATGACAGATGTAGCGCTTTTATTTCTAAATATTAACAAACTTGCTTACCATGTCATCAACTATCTTCTATTCTGACTCTCAAATCTGTGTAAGTGAGTTTGTTTTGTCGTTTAAAACCCTTTATAAATGATCTTGATCTGTAACGTGAGATGGGCATCGCAGTTCGGAGATTCCTGTTGTATTTGTTAAGTTACAGCGCGTGAATTCTTCAGTTTCTCCCGAAATACATGAAAGTAAGTGGCCGGTGAACTGGGAGAAGAATAGAGTAAACTTTATAGTTACTTACACTGTGTATCTGATATGAATAAAACACGTCGCCAAATATATTTGAATGGATTGTTATTGCTGCTTCCATAGACACCATTGTGTATTTTACAAACTATAAATTTATTGTTTTGCTATAAATCATATCTATTTAAATGTCTGAAACCTAAAATAAACATGTGGTTAAAAACACTGAATAGTTGTGATATATGACAAGCGCTGAGCGCGTCCGTCTTTGAGTGTACACTCATTTAAAGTGTACCTATTCATACTAATTTTTCCCCGGCCTTAATTTGAGACCGGCCTTTATTTGTCCGCGTTGACCACGCCCCCGGCCACTATCAGAGGCCCGGCGTTTATTTGAATACCGGTCTTTATTTGAGGAATTACGGTAATCAGATTCAGCGCGTTCTTCATCTTCAATCCGCAGCAGCGCCGAGCAGAGAGCACGTCAGAAACAGAGGACAGGGTGTGTGTGTGTGTGTGTGTGTGTGTGTGTGTGTGTGTGTTCATGTGTGTTCATCTGAGCCTCATTGGTCTGTCACTGCTCGTCAATGTCAGAATATTTGAGATGACCAATCAAATCAAAGTAGGCAGGCTTTATGTTCACAGACGCTGCTGAGCGCGAATTTTAACAGTGCGACTCGACGCGGACGGTCAAGTGCGAGATAAGATGTAAGTTGCTAAACTTAACATTTCATATTTGACTTTTTTTAGGTCATAAATGTTAAACGAATGACAAAAAATAATCAGGCAAACTAATATAGTTTTGTCTAATTTCGCCATTTTGAACTGAAAATAGGCTGTAACGTGACTCATGTAAAGTAATAATTAGTTTACAAGAAACATTAACAAAGCCGTTTTCATCATGTTAGGCACAAGATTAATAATGAATGTGTACATATTGAGGATATAATACAAATTGTAGCCTTTAGTAAATTAAAAAAGCTCAGCTTTAGGAGGGGAAGAGAAAGGGACGAAGAGACTGAGAAAAAAAGAAAGAGTGATGGAGATGAGAAGAGAGCAGGTATTGACAAATAATCTGCCCACTGACATGGTTTTAAAGCTATTTCTTATCCTTTTTTGGTCTTCAAACGTCTTGAAATGCACATATCAGAGAAATAAAAAATTTGAACCCCCTACCAACCTCAAATTTAGGACCTCTGTGACTAAAGCCCTGTCTACGGCCCTGTATTAGGCATAAGATCAATAATAAATGTGTAGCCTACATATTGTGAATGCATTTAATAAACTTAATTACCTTTAGTAGCTTTCAGTAAATAAACGCGTCTGAGAAAATGATTCATAGGCAAAATCAACCTATCAATTGACCCTATGTTTACTTTCTTCACTGACAGACAAAAATGAAAAGCCTATATCAGTCAAAGCTCAGCTTTAGGAGGGGAAGAGACAGGGCAAGATAAAAACAAAGAGAAAAAAGAGTGTGATGCTGATGAGAGAAAAATAATCAGCTGCCCACTATCCAAGTTTTTTGGCCTTCAGAACATCTTAAAATGCACATATGTAGATCAGAGAAATCAAAATTTTCCATTTTCGTAATGAAAATGGTTAATAGTGATCTTTAGATCCTAAACTAAAGTGTTACATTTTTTTTATTTAAAAAAAAAAAATCATATTGGGGGCTTAGCCCCCCTAAAATGAAAATCCTAGTGACGCCCCTGGTTAAAAGTATAACATTTAAAGCCACTTAAATGAACGAAATGACTCGAAAAAAGATTTGTTAATTTTGATGAACAAGAGAGTCAGTAAAATGATCCGAACTTCCCATCACTAATGCCTAGTGCTTGATTTATACAACTGTGGCCATGGAAGTGATTGGAACACCTAAATCCAATGATTTGGAGGAGTGTCCTAATACTTAAGGCAATTTAGTCTGTGTATATATATATATGAATTAATATTTAAATAATCTGAAAATGAATTCAATAAATCTCGAAACTAAGACTTTTTTAGATTTTAGATTGTAACTTATTGATTCTGTAATTGTACTATAGTATATTTCACAAATAAAGAAATAGTTTGATATGAATAAAAAGAAAGTGCAGCCAACTGGGCATCTGGGAATCATATTTTTCCCCCAGTTAAACTGGGACATAAAGTCACACTAGGGCCTTAGTAACTACTAGTTAGTGTGTCACTTTTGTTTATCTGTAGCCTATACTTCAAACCACATTTATAAGTGTTCATAAGTATCAGTGTTTACCATCAGAGAGACGTTGGAGTTCCACTGTGTAAAAAGCTCATCCTTTGCATCAGGATCAGTTTGTAGATTTGTATCATTGTGGCTCTGGGTTTAAAAATCAAGATAATTTTTATATTATTTCTAGAAAAACTTGGAAATATGAGGAAGCCTAATTTTGGCTTTGGAGTCAAAAAGGTTGAGAACCACTGACTCAACTACAAGAACTTAAACTAAAAGAATATATATATGCATTGGAGCTCATTAGATACGATTTTTAATAGACTTTAAGCTGCATGCATTTACTTTCCCTAACCAAATAAGCTCTTATTACCTTGTTTTATTAAAGACAAGGCAACTAATTTTATATTCAGCACAGGGAAAATTACACTAATATGACAATGTAGCGCCACATAGTTTAAAATCAAGGGTTTGTCTATCTTTAAACCCAGAATTGACAGTTCGACTAAGTCTGCAAGGTTTGTAAAATTAAATGTTTATTAGATATTCAAAGCATTTGCTGAATGCTGACGGTAAATGAGAAACTATTATAGCGTTTGCCTTTCTGTTACGTATAATAATAAAACAATACTTTTTTTTGTATATGGTTTACTTTCTTTGTTTAACAGTTCTATCCGGTAATGTATTAGACAAAACTGTTAAACAGAGACCATAAACTAATGAAGACGGAGAATTGGAGCGCTGTGTGATCTCAGCAACGTCAAAATAAAAGTCAGACACGCCGTCAAAATAAAAGTCCTGCTATTAGATCGTGATCTCTACGATTCGCTTGAAAAGTAGATCGTGGGCGTCTTCAAGATCGATCACCATATAAAAAAATCGTGCATGATGGGCCTTTAAAATAGTTTACAACAACACCACTGTGTTATTTTTGAGCAGTGATTTCTGTGTCTGCTCTCCCAGGCCGGTTAGCTCAGTTGGTTAGAGCGTGGTGCTAATAACGCCAAGGTCGCGGGTTCGATCCCCGTACTGGCCAATGAGTTTTGTCTCTGCGACTGATTTGTTGATATTTTTGCTTTGAAATTCTCATTTACAATAATAAGAGGTAGAATTGAACAGGTCATGTGTGATTTTACTGGCTTATAAAACTTTATTTTGTTAACATGAGTTAATGCAGTAAACTAATAATAAGAAATATTTTTTACATCATTTATTAATCTTGTTTTATTTTAAGTTAGGTAATTTTGTTGTGTTTTTGTCTTTTTTTAATATGCTTATTTTTTTATTTCAGTTTTAGCTATCATAAAATACTATAAATATACTATTGTTTTTAATATTTTGATATGAAATTAGTTTTAATTTGAGTTCATTTCACTTTTAGTTATTTTCGAGAAATAATTTGTATTTTTGAGATATGTTGAATGTGAACGTATGTTGAATTTAACAAATGTTAAATGAAAAATTGTAGATTTAAAATGCATATATTAAATAAAGATTGTAGAATGTTTAAATAAAATAAGTTTTTTATTTTAATTTTCTTAATATTTTATTGGTAACACTTTACAATAAGGTTCATTAGTTAACTACCTTAGTTAACATGAACTAAGAATAAACAATAATTCTACAGCATTTATTAATCTTAGTTAATATTAATTTCAACATTTACTAATACATTATTAAAATCAAAGGTTGTGTTTGTTAACATTAGTTAACACTGTGAACTAACATGAAACAATTATGAATAGCTGGATTTTTATTAATAAATATTGTAACAAATGTATTGCTCGTTGTTAATTCATGTTAGTTAATACATTAACTAATGTTAACTATTGAACCTTATTGTAAAATGTTACCATTTTATTTTTATTTCAAGTAACAAATGTTTTTTTTTTAAATGGTTTTAGTTAAGAGACCCAGTAGGTGGCAGTGTTTATCAGTAAACCTGACATAAAACAATGCCAAATGCTTAAGTAGAAATGTCTGAATTTCCACAGGCTGGAACATCAAACAACATGAGCGAATCGCATTGCTTCTGCAAAACAAAAAATCTTGCCCCGTGTGAGGCTCGAACTCACGACCTTCAGATTATGAGACTGACGCGCTGCCTACTGCGCCAACGAGGCCTGATGCTGGAGCAAGCAGTGTCTCCTCATGTTACTCCAGTTGCTGATTTTCCAAGTAAATCAGGTAAGGCTGAGTTTTCATGTCAGCTACAGTTGTGCTTCATAGATTTATCTGCACATCTACTACAATCCCAAAAGCTAGTTTGTGCAAAAATATTTGAGAAACAATTTAAACAATGAGATCCACGCTCTTCCACTAGAGGGAGCCAAAGCGAACGGCCACTTTCCAAAGGTGGCCTTGAATAGGTCAGTGTGTTTTTTCAACCTTAGGTTTGTGTCAAAAAAAACCCCCTTTTGATAAGAACACGGCATCTCCGTGTGCCACGTTATCACATGCTGTTAGCAAATACAGCGTTGGTGAGCTCGTATCTTTCTTTCTGTTCAGCACAGCCAGCTGTGCACTACACCTTTTGAAACATCATGTCAGGGCTTAATGCCTCGCTGGGCTACTTCTTAACTATAGTAGGTGTGAGTGCGGTAGGAAGGGTGACGCTCGCACGATCGAGGCTGCGATGGACTTTCCTGACCGAGTTTATCGCCGCATTCGCGCTCGCCGCATGTCGACTTGAAGTGGACACCATTGCGGAGGTCGGTCAGTGGGCCGGGGCGCTTGGGCCCGACGTGGCCATCACTATGCTTTTCCTATCCATCGCTATTCATGGCATCATCATGCAAGGCGTAAGCGGGAATCCATCGGTGACGTTAATGGGAATCCTCCAGAGAGACGTCGGCGCCGTGGCAGGCGTCCTCAGCGTCGCGGCGCAGTTACTCGGCGCGTACTTGGCGCTCGTAGTCGCCGAAAAGTACTGGGAAATGGAGCTGACCGACATGCACATGATAAAGAATCTGATGATGTCCGAGTGCAGTACGTCGCTGCGGGTCTCGGCGCTACAGGGAGCGTTAGCCGAAGCGCTCGGCGCCGTGACCTTTCACCTGGTTTACCTCGTCCTGAAGAGCCGCTCGCAGCTGCTGAGGATCCCCTTACTCGCTCTGCTGCTGACGTTCATCGCATACGCAGGTGGGTTCGCGTCGGACAGAATGATTTGGCTTTCGTCAAATATTGTACATTTAAATGCGTGTATTAGATAGAAATTGTCAAGTTAAAATGCATATATAAAAAGTACATTTTGTAATTTTAAATGCCTGTATTAGATAGAAATTGTCAAGTTAAAATGCATAAATAAAAAGTAAATTTTGTAATTTTAAATGCTTGTATTAAATAGAAATTGTCAAGTTAAAATGCATAAATAAAAAGTAAATTTTGTATTTTTAAATGCTTCTATTAAATAGAAATTGTCAAGTTCAAATGCATAAATAAAAAGTAAATTTTGTAATTTTAAATGCTTGTATTAAATAGAAATTGACAAGTTAAAATGCATAAATAAAAATTAAATTTTGTAATTTTAAATGCTTGTATTAAATAGAAATTGTCGAGTTAAAATGCATAAATAAAAAGTACATTTTGTAATTTTAAATGCTTGTATTAAATAGAAATTGTCGAGTTAAAATGCATAAATAAAAAGTAAATTTTGTAATTTTAAATGCTTGTATTAAATAGAAATTGTCGAGTTAAAATGCATAAATAAAAAGTACATTTTGTAATTTTAAATGCTTGTATTAAATAGAAATTGACAAGTTAAAATGCATAAATAAAAAGTACATTTTGTAATTTTAAATGCTTGTATTAAATAGAAATTGTCGAGTTAAAATGCATAAATAAAAAGTACATTTTGTAATTTTAAATGCTTGTATTAAATAGAAATTGTCGAGTTAAAATGCATAAATAAAAAGTACATTTTGTAATTTTAAATGCTTGTATTAAATAGAAATTGACGAGTTAAAATGCATAAATAAAAAATTAATTTTGTAATTTGAAATGCGTGTATTAAGTTCAAATTGTAGATTTAAAATGCATATATTAAATAACGATTGTAGAATGTTTAATTATATTGAATTATTGAATAAGGATTGTTGATTAAAACATTTTTTTATTGTAGATTTCTAAAAATTGAGATTTCAAATGCACGTATTAAATTAACTTGTAGATTTAAAATATATTAAATAAGGATTATGTATTTAACATGCATATGTTACATAAAGATTGTAGATTTAAAATATATTAAATAAGGATCATGTATTTAAAATGCATATATTGATTAAGCACTGTAGATTTCAAATGCATATATTACAGTTTTTTTCAATCGCTAACAAGCGCTTACCCATACTTCAGATACTTTTTCTAAACTCTAAACACAGACTCACACCTACAAAACACAATTGGCCAAATGGTAAATTTTCTTCTCAAAAACACATTTTGTTAAATATATACTAACTCTTCATTTCAAAATAGAACACATCTTTCTCTGCACACACTAACTTTACCAAAACACTGAAAATCTGTCTCAAAATGAAATTATTCTGTCAAAGAATAACACTTGTTTTCACTTCACATGGTACATGCAGTCAATCAAAGTACACCAGGTTTCAAAATACTGGCTATTGTTGACATTACAAAAACTACATAGACTTTGATGTTTCAGTTTTACAGGTATTTGCATGCAAAACATGCAATCCAACCTTTTTACACTAAATTTCTTAGTTGGGAACTGTATGTCCACATGTACAGTAATGTTCACATTCAAAAGCAATCTAGTAAAAAGCAAATCAGTTTTTTCCCTTTACTGTTTACAACAGGAGGTACAGTAGAAACACGGTATGAAAGAACAGAAAAAGTTTTACAGTATTGCTTACAAAAAAAGCACAAAATTACTGTATCTAAACTCTGCGATCTTCAGGGTTAGGCCACATGTTTTCATCAAATATTGCACTTCTGCACCTCTCACTGCACCTCTCACTGCATCTCTCACTGCACATCTCACTGCACCTCTCACTGCACATCTCACTGCACATCTCACTGCACATCTCACTGCACCTCTCACTGCACCTCTCACTGCTCCTCTCACTGCATCTCTCACTGCACATCTCACTGCACCTCTCACTGCATCTCTCACTGCTCCTCTCACTGCATCTCTCACTGCACATCTCACTGCACCTCTCACTGCACCTCTCACTGCACCTCTCACTGCACATCTCACTGCAACTCTCACTGCACATCTCACTGCACATCTCACTGCACATCTCACTGCATCTCTCACTGCTCCTCTCACTGCATCTCTCACTGCACATCTCACCGCACCTCTCACTGCTCCTGCTATTCTCCCTGGGCCCCTTGCTCTTACTCTTCCTCGTCCAGACATTACAGTGTTTGTCTTTTTCTGTTTCTGTTTCCAAAAACATCACTCCTCAAAGTCCTAATTTTACTGTATAAGTGTCAATGTAATAGAAAAAAATCAGCTGTGTGTCAATTATTCAATTGTTTGTTTATTATTTTGCTGATATATATTGTTTTTTGAACTGATATCATTGCAGGAGCAGAGGTTTTTATACTGTATCTAAGGTTTGGAATATTGTTTTTGCTATTGTTGGATGGTGTGTGTTAACATTCGCAAATACTACAAAAACAATCCATAATTTTGTTGGGAGGTATAACTTGTCTGTTAAGAAAATGTAAGCATTGTGGAAATGTGTTCACTGACTGCATATTGTGTGAAAACGACATGAAATGTGTGAATGGTATGGCCACAATAGACCGATGCTGTGCTAATTGTGTTTAGAGTTTTGAAAATGTGACTACTGGTTGGACAAACGCTTGTTAGCGACTGAAAAAAACTGTAAATGAAAGATTGAGATTGCAAATTCACGTATTTAATTAAAACTTCTAGATTTCAAATGCATATATAAAATAATGACTGCAATTAAAATGCATATTTTGCACATGGATTGTACATTTAAAATAAATATATTAAATAAGGATTATGTACCGGTATTTAAAATGCATATATTGAATAAGGATTGTAGATTTCAAATTAAAAATGTATTTTAAATGCATATATTAAAATAAATAAAATGTAGATTTCAAATGCATATGTTAAATAAGGATTGCATTTTAAATTTAAATATTGAAGATTTCAAATCCATATTACAATAAAAAATTAAATCATGGAAAATATAAATCAAATGATGACTGCAATTAAAATGCAAAATTTTAAATAAGGATTATTGCTTTCAAATGCATATATTAAATATAGATTTAGAGTGCATATATAAAATAATAACTGCAATTTAACTGCACAGTATACAAAAGTATAAAGATATTTAATAAGGATTGTAGACTGCAAATGCATTTATTTAGGGGGAGGCTAGCACAAAATAAATAGCATATTTTAAAATACACACTAAAGTTTTGTGTTACTCTGGAGAACATCTTTACTCTTCATTGGCATTGATTTGGTGAAGTGATATTTTTAACGCTAAACTTCTCTCTCACACTAGGAAACAACTACACGTCTGGATATGTGAATCCGTCCCTCGCTTATGCGCTAACATTCCCCTGTCCTGGACACTCTTTCTTAGCGTATTCTCTCGTTTACTGGCTCGGGCCTCTTATTGGTAAGTCCTTGTACATTTCAGAAATATTCATAAAATACCAAGTATTCAAATAATGCATTCAAAAATGCATTTTTAGTCAATGTGATGAATTTTACTGTTTAAATACTTACACTATGTTTTTTTCCAGGCATGAGTCTTGCGCTCTTCCTGTATTTGGGAAACATCCCTCTGCTGTTCAGCAGGAATCTACTTTACTCCAAGAAGGCTCGTTTCCGGGTGCCCAAAGGAAAAACTTCCGAAGACTGACAGACATAAAAAACAGCACTGATATGGTCGCTTTGTAAACCATACTTTACCGTCACGAAACATATAATGGTTAAACGTTAAATCTGTTGGTTTAAGTTGCAACAAACCCCTAAAGTTACGAAAAACACTGTTCATCACATCAGTCGTCTTCTGTAATTTATCCTGTTACACTGAGTAAAAATGTTGAGTTTGTTCTGCTGTTGTCAGATGTGAATTTTCTACTAACACCTATGAGCCAAAGAACAGTCAAGCCTGCTTAAATGGATACTTCACCTCTGGAAAGATGAATGTGTATTTAAAATGGGTCATTTATGTAGAAGAAATGTGAAACTATTTTTGAATTTGGAGCTTAAAGCCAGAAAATGTATTTTTGGCTTATGTGGATGAAAGACAACAACTCCAAGAATGCACTTGCTTCGCTGCCCTAGGAGGCCACGCCTACCGGTAACAGAGCACAGTAGTTAAACAACAAGTCTGGGCTACTAGTGAGTCTCCGTGATGAGTCTGCCCGAAAATGTGTTTCGAGATAGCCCAAAATGTCCGGGATTCGGCTTTTGCGTTCTACAGTCGCCATTCATTATGTTTACTGTGGCGAGCAGGACGAGTGAGGGCCGTGGGAGAACGACACGAGTCATGTTTACTGTGGCGAGCAGGACGAGTGAGGGCCGCGGGAGAACGACACGAGTCATGTTTACTGTGGCGAGCAGGACGAGTGAGGGCCGCGGGAGAACGACACGAGTCATGTTTACTGTGGCGAGCAGGACGAGTGAGGGCCGCGGGAGAACGACGCGAGTCATGTTTACTGTGGCGAGCAGGACGAGTGAGGGCCGCGGGAGAACGACACGAGTCATGTTTACTGTGGCGAGCAGGACGAGTGAGGGCCGCGGGAGAACGGCACGAGTCATGTTTACTGTGGCGAGCAGGACGAGTGAGGGCCGCGGGAGAACGACACGAGTCATGTTTACTGTGGCGAGCAGGACGAGTGAGGGCCGCGGGAGAACGACACGAGTCATGTTTACTGTGGCGAGCAGGACGAGTGAGGGCCGCGGGAGAACGACACGAGTCATGTTTACTGTGGCGAGCAGGACGAGTGAGGGCAGCGGGAGAACGACACGAGTCATGTTTACTGTGGCGAGCAGGACGAGTGAGGGCCGCGGGAGAACGACACGAGTCATGTTTACTGTGGTGAGCAGGACGAGTGAGGGCCGCGGGAGAACGACACGAGTCATGTTTACTGTGGCGAGCAGGACGAGTGAGGGCCGCGGGAGAACGACACGAGTCATGTCTGTGGCGAGCAGGACGAGTGAGGGCCGCGGGAGAACGGCACGAGTCATGTCTGTGGCGAGCAGGACGAGTGAGGGCCGCGGGAGAACGGCACGAGTCATGTTTACTGTGGCGAGCAGGACGAGTGAGGGCCGCGGGAGAACGACACGAGTCATGTTTACTGTGGCGAGCAGGACGAGCGAGGGCCGCGGGAGATCGACACGAGTCATGTTTACTGTGGCGAGCAGGACGAGTGAGGGCCGCGGGAGAACGACACGAGTCATGTTTACTGTGGCGAGCAGGACGAGCTAGGGCCGCGGCCGCGGGAGATCGACACGAGTCATGTTTACTGTGGCGAGCAGGACGAGTGAGGGCCGCGGGAGAACGACACGAGTCATGTTTACTGTGGCGAGCAGGACGAGTGAGGGCCGCGGGAGAACGACACGAGTCATGTCTGTGGCGAGCAGGACGAGTGAGGGCCGCGGGAGAACGGCACGAGTCATGTTTACTGTGGCGAGCAGGACGAGTGAGGGCCGCGGGAGAACGACACGAGTCATGTTTACTGTGGCGAGCAGGACGAGCGAGGGCCGCGGGAGATCGACACGAGTCATGTTTACTCTGGCGAGCAGGACGAGTGAGGGCCGCGGGAGAACGACACGAGTCATGTTTACTGTGGTGAGCAGGACGAGTGAGGGCCGCGGGAGAACGACACGAGTCATGTTTACTGTGGCGAGCAGGACGAGTGAGGGCCGCGGGAGAACAGCGCGAGTCATGTTTACTGTGGCGAGCAGGACGAGTGAGGGCCGCGGGAGAACGACACGAGTCATGTTTACTGTGGCGAGCAGGACGAGTGAGGGCCGCGGGAGAACGACACGAGTCATGTTTACTGTGGCGAGCAGGACGAGTGAGGGCCGCGGGAGAACGACACGAGTCATGTTTACTGTGGCGAGCAGGACGAGTGAGGGCTGTGGGAGAACGACACGAGTCATGTTTACTGTGGCGAGCAGGACGAGTGAGGGCCGCGGGAGAACGACACGAGTCATGTTTACTGTGGCGAGCAGGACGAGTGAGGGCCGCGGGAGAACGACACGAGTCATGTTTACTGTGGCGAGCAGGACGAGTGAGGGCCGCGGGAGAACGGCACGAGTCATGTTTACTGTGGCGAGCAGGACGAGTGAGGGCCGCGGGAGAACGACACGAGTCATGTTTACTGTGGCGAGCAGGACGAGTGAGGGCCGCGGGAGAACGACACGAGTCATGTTTACTGTGGCGAGCAGGACGAGTGAGGGCCGCGGGAGAACGACACGAGTCATGTTTACTGTGGCGAGCAGGACGAGTGAGGGCCGCGGGAGAACGACACGAGTCATGTTTACTGTGGCGAGCAGGACGAGTGAGGGCCGCGGGAGAACGACACGAGTCATGTTTACTGTGGCGAGCAGGACGAGCGAGGGCCGCGGGAGATCGACACGAGTCATGTTTACTGTGGCGAGCAGGACGAGTGAGGGCAGCGGGAGAACAGCGCGAGTCATGTTTACTGTGGCGAGCAGGACGAGTGAGGGCCACGGGAGAACGACACGGGTCATGTTTACTGTGGTGAGCAGGACGAGTGAGGGCCGTGGGAGAACGACACGAGTCATGTTTACTGTGGCGAGCAGGACGAGTGAGGGCCGTGGGAGAACGACACGAGTCATGTTTACTGTGGCGAGCAGGACGAGTGAGGGCCGCGGGAGAACGACACGAGTCATGTTTACTGTGGCGTGCAGGACGAGTGAGGGCCGTGGGAGAACGACACGAGTCATGTTTACTGTGGCGAGCAGGACGAGTGAGGGCCGCGGGAGAACGACGCGAGTCATGTTTACTGTGGCGAGCAGGACGAGTGAGGGCCGTGGGAGAACGACACGAGTCATGTTTACTGTGGCGAGCAGGACGAGTGAGGGCCGTGGGAGAACGACACGAGTCATGTTTACTGTGGCGAGCAGGACGAGTGAGGGACGCGGGAGAACGACACGAGTCATGTTTACTGTGGCGAGCAGGACGAGTGAGGGCCGTGGGAGAACGACACGAGTCATGTTTACTGTGGCGAGCAGGACGAGTGAGGGCCGCGGGAGAACGACACGAGTCATGTTTACTGTGGCGAGCAGGACGAGTGAGGGCCGTGGGAGAACGACACGAGTCATGTTTACTGTGGCGAGCAGGACGAGTGAGGGCCGTGGGAGAACGACACGAGTCATGTTTACTGTGGCGAGCAGGACGAGTGAGGGACGCGGGAGAACGACACGAGTCATGTTTACTGTGGCGAGCAGGACGAGTGAGGGCCGCGGGAGAACGACACGAGTCATGTTTACTGTGGCGAGCAGGACGAGTGAGGGCAGCGGGAGAACGACACGAGTCATGTTTACTGTGGCGAGCAGGACGAGTGAGGGCCACGGGAGAACGACACGGGTCATGTTTACTGTGGCGAGCAGGACGAGTGAGGGCCACGGGAGAACGACACGGGTCATGTTTACTGTGGCGAGCAGGACGAGTGAGGGCCGTGGGAGAACGACACGAGTCATGTTTACTGTGGCGAGCAGGACGAGTGAGGGCCGTGGGAGAACGGCGCGAGACCGGTGAGCGACACCTGTGAGACGCACCGGTCTCGTATCTCTCACGGAGGAGCGGGAATTTTCTTAGCAATGTTAAAACGCACATCATGAGTGGCGTATCCACTCATGAGGGGGGAGGTGCCTGTGAATTTTGGGGGTGGAGCTATCAAGATAAAGTGTGATCCTTTTGGGTAAGGGCGTGTTTGGTTTGGTGATTTCAAATATCAACAGCGTTTCTCAGAAATCGTTTACTGCACCTTTAATGTAATGTAATTATTTATTATAAATAATCTAAGGGTGTAGAATATACGGTTAAAACTATATAAAAAAGCTAATATAAATTAGTTGTAAAAGTAGGTTTGTTACTTAAGACATAACAACAGTTTTCTGTGGTATTACTTTGACTGAATAGATACCTACTGTCGCTGCAGTGGTTTAAGACTCCGACAAAGGAACCAAAAACAACAGACTGAAAGTCTGACATAAAGTCACACTAGGGCCTTAGTAACTACTAGCTAGTGTGTAACTTTTGTTTATCTGTAGCCTATACTTTAAACCACATTTATAAGTATTCATAAGTATCAGTGTTTACAATCAGAGAGACGTTAGAGTTCCAATGTGTAAAAAGCTCATCCTTTGCATCAGGATCAGTTTGTAGATTTGTATCATTGTGGCTCTGGGTCTAAAAATCAAGATAATTTTTATATTATTTCTAGATAAACTTGGAAATATGAGGAAGCCTAATTTTGGCTTTGGAGTCAAAAAGGTGAGAACCACTGACTCAACTACAAGAACTTTAACTAAAAGAATATATATGCATTGGAGCTCATTAGATACAATTGTTAATAGACTAAGCTGGATGTATTTACTTTCCCTAACCAAATAAGCTCTTATTATTTGAAACATGTTCATGGGAAAGACCCTTTCAAAGGAAAGATTTGCAGGAATGAACTACGTGAATTAATCTTTCCTGCCCCCTTGTGGTTTATGTCCTTTTGGCCTGAAACTTCACTTTGCTCTATTGAATTTGTTTATTTTTACTCATTTTGTTTTCCCAGGTTAAGCATTAATACTAGGAGTGCAAGTGTGCAAAAACTAAAGCAAAATTACTTTTAACAGTTTAATAATGTGAAGCTTTATATGTGGCAGACTGCTGAAATTGTTTAAATATACATAAAGTTAGTATACCTCCATGAGTCGCTTGACATAATAAATGTAATAAAACATGGAGAAACTCTTGAACCTCAGAGTGAGAAAAATTTATTGATAAAGCCAAGCAAATACATATGACAAATAGATGGCTGCAGTAGTAAAATATAAACAATAAAGCCTTTTAAATTTGATTTTTTTTTTTTAATCTGCTACTGAAGGAGAAAGAGCAAGCAAATAATAATCAGTATTTATTATGACACTTGAAGCACCATTAAAGTTCAGCATTCTGCTTTAGATTTAAGCACTTCCTGAAATAGATGAACATATAAAGGCATTAATAAATCTCAGAAAAATTAATACACGAAAAATCTGTTTGTGAGAAATTACATCATGTACCTGATGTGTGAATATGTGCTTGATCTCGTTCAGCTCTTCTGGATTTGATGTCATAAACCAGAATAATGACAGTAGCCACGCCCACCAGAGCAGAGAGGACCAATCGGATCACAGCTTCAGTAGGACCACACCAGTGGACAGAGTCTGAGGAATAAACACATCAAACTGAGATCAGATCAGTCAATAAACACTAATATCAGCGCTGACATCAACTAATATCAGTGCTGGCGTACCTGCACATGTGTGGCAGAGTTCAGTGATGTCCAGATGTGTGGTCTGGTTGCTGATGGGATTGTTCAGCACACAGCTGTAGGGGGTTTTATCCTGATATTCCACCTCCAGAGGTAGAGAGAGACTGATGCTGAGATCAGACGCACTGATGCTGGACAATACACTCATTCCTGCGTACCAGGAGAGAGTCACATGACTCACATTCACCACTGATGAACACACCAATGAACATGATGATGATGAACAGTGTGAAGAGTTACTGATGATGACAGGAACAGGCAGACGAGCTGAAAACATCAGAGAATAAAGATAAATTAGGATGAATTAAGTTATTCAAGCAGAGGAAGAAACATCGAGAGAAACCGAGATTATCAAAAGTAGAGCATTTAAAACTATTTAATAGAAAGTTAAATATAAACCTGCTGTTAAAGGTTCTCTAAGCGATGTCGGGTGACGTCACTTCTTGTTGACGTTTAAAGTATTGTCAAACAAAACGGACGCTAGCTAGACCCTCCCTCCTCCTCATCCACGCACTAACCCCCCAAACCCCGCCCCCAAGTCCTTCTTGTCGGTGATTGGCTGGAACTGTTTGTCATGTTTCGGGGAGCGGGTCGCCGCAGTTTGTTTTTGTTGCCGTGTGTGACGCCTGGGCTGTCTACAGAGATCTCGTTTCTTTACAGTGTGTTCAGGGGACAGACAGTCAGCGGTTAGTGAGGAGATGTTTGCTGTATGTGACAAAAAAAATGTTTTGGCCTAAAAAAAACGTGTGACATCGCTTAGAGCACCTTTAATGTAAAAAAAAGTAAGAGAATTAGTCATTTTAACTAATTAGTCATAATCAGAGTTGGGTATAACGCGTTACTGTATTCTAGTTTTCGTGATGTAACTCATTAGTTTAAATGTAATTCTAGTTTATTAAATGTAATGTAAAATGAAAATGTAAATGTAATTCTAGTTTAAATGTAACTCATTACATTTAAAATTTATGTAATTTGATTACAGTTACTGATGTCAATAAAATTAAGTTAACTTGCGTTACAAATGTATTAAGAAAAAAATATTTAGTAAAATGCATTTTTAATCACGTTTGGCCAGCTGCGTCAGTTAATGAGCATGCGCTTTAATGAATTACCGAAGAACGCGCTTCATGAGGCACACACACACACGCAAGGTCTCTCGCTCTCTCCCTCTCCGCAGTATGTTTAGAGCACAGTCTCTTCTGTCTCGCATGCGCGCTCTTGCTCGCTCGCTCTAGATTCCTGGAGATTTTAACTAATTTGCGGGCATCAGGGAGCCGCTATCAATATGCGAGAGACTCCCAGAACTTCTGGGAGACTTGGGATGTCTGCAATATTAAATTACGGAAAGAACTGAGTTTCACTTTTTAGTGTATTCTTGTAGTTTTAATTGGTTTTCAAAGTAACTTGAAAGTAAAGTAATTAGTAATCTGATTACTGTTTACATGCAGTAATCAGTAATGTAATCAAATTACAATTTTAAAGTAGTAATTAGTAGTGATTAGTAGGGATGCACCGAATCCAGGATTCGGATTCGGCCGAATATTAGGCTTTTTAACGGGGTTCGGTTTCTGCCGAACCTCAGAATTTTTTTCCACCGAACCGAACCCTTAACCTGACTCCGCCAGATGGATTTGCTCCGCATATCCATCTGGAAACCTTCCGTTGAAGTAGTTTTGGTAAGGGGCGAAAATACTGGTTAGCTGATTGGCCTATGTTGGTGATAGACGGGCCAAATCAACCAATCAGATCAACAAAGCATATGACGTACTAACAGAGCGTATCTTTTCCTCTGAGAAAAGCCTCCAGAGCAGTGTTTTGCTCTTCTTTCAGTGAAGAAATACTCTGTAATTCCGATAAAACTTGCTCGATAGCCACGCTGATGCTAGTTTCATCCGCTGAAGCCGACATGTTCTTTAGACTGAAGTGACGCGCTTCTCGTTGCGTCACACCTCAACCCGCCTCAAAGCCAACGCTGATTGGACGTTCGTTTGGTGAACTGCTCCCAAATTTTCTTTAACGGAAAGTATCCAGACTGATCTGCGAGTGAAACCTTGAAAGCTCGCGAGATCAGGATGGTCTCACGAGGCTACCGAACCCTAGGCTTGCACTACGCGCGCTACGTCGAAGTCACCGATCAGTGAATGACATTAAAGTGCCGCGTGAACGAATAGACAGCAGACGGCTCCTTATGCTTTTGAATTGCTCTCGCGGTACTTTGATGTCATAAACTGATCTGTCTGCGCAGCGCTCAGGTTCAAGTCGAACAAGCCTGTAGTGTAACGCGTTGTGTCAGGAAGAAAAATAGGGATAGCTCACAGCTGAAGTTATTGCAGAGGACAGACAGACTCACGGAGGCGATTGGCATCTCACAACTAGCACTTTATTCCACAATCGAACTTGTGTAACTGTCTGTCACACGTTCTACCATCCACAGCTTTACTTAACAAAATAAGGTAAAAAATGAGCATCAAACAGAAATAACCCGCATACATGGGCATGTGTTCTTCGAGGCGCACGACACATACAATACGGACTGCAGTGCAGACAGTTTAACAGGGAGAGCGCAGTTCTTAAAGGGGCCACACCTTATTTCCACCCGTTACAGTAGGTGCACCGTTCGAATGCAGTAGGCTGTGAGAAAGTGAAAATGGAACTCGTGAGCAGAAAAAGTGTTGTTTGGCAGTACTTTCAGTCAAAAGAAGGCAATTCAAGTCGAGTTACATGTTCAATTTGCAATGCCGATTTGTCTCATGGTGGCAAGGAAACAATAGGCTACACAACATCGCCGCTGTTAAAATGCATAATGTTGCTTATTCTTTTTTTTTTTTTTTTTTTACAGATATAAAAGTAAAAGTAGGCTAGTGTTTATTATTTACAGTAATAAAATAAAATGAAAAATCCACTTTGTTTACTTCATTAATGTGTTTACTGTGTTAATGGACTGAGGATGAGAGTAGGATTCGGTATTCGGTTTCGGATTCGGCAGAATCTTAACCAGTGGATTCGGTATTCGGCCGAACCCCACAAATCTGGATTCGGTGCATCCCTAGTGATTAGGGATGCACAATGATATCGGGACAACATCGGTATCGGCCGATAAAAGCTTAAAATGATCATCATCGGCATCGTCCGATATGAATATTTCTGCCGATGAGCCTTGCCGATAGGGTGGCGTGTTTCCTATGCGCACGTGACGACCGTGAACTAAGCATGAGCGCCAGCAACTTAAACTTCCAACTAGAGGTGTGCGTCTCACGCGGTTTTTGATCGTGGATGATTAAAATATCTCTTCACGATCTGCTTTTGAAGAAAAATCATAGTATCGTGCATTCTATCAGTTCAATTCTGGCCCTTTCATCTCAACATACTGTACAACGCGACGTACATTCACATCACATGTAAACGCAGAGGTAGAGTTACACTCACGGGACACTGCAATTCACAAAAGTTCATTATTTGCATATGCGTCAAAGTCTTGCTAGTTAAACATGTCATTCGCGTGCTGATGCGCTGTTCTAACATGCGCTTTTCTGAGTGCGTTACACCTGACGCTCACAGGAACTAAAAGCCTGTCACAGCGCCTGCATACTGGACTAATCTTTAGAGTCTTATTGCGCTGATACTGTCAAATACACCCAAGGTTTACATAAACAAAGTTGGTTATGTCTAAAGTGAAAGCAAACAGAGAAAATCTGCTTGTCAAATGCGTGTGTATTAGACGCGTCTCGTGCAGCGCTTAAAGAGACAATAATAATATGCTGCCGCTTGTCCTTAAAGTCCCACTCCGATCATATTTTGAGCTATTTTTAAACATTCCCAGTGGTCTTTAAATTATGATTATGCCATTTTTAGCCAAAATCACAAAACCTGTGCCGTTTTCTGGGACTTCGCTTCAGCAGAGCGGCAGTAGCTCATTAGCAATTCGCCTCTGCGTTGTGGGAGGAGCCGTTGGCACGGAGACGACCCTCCCCCTGCCCGTTGCTGAGAGCTCCGTCTCTCCCGCTAGCTTACACCCCCAATACTGGTGGGGCAACAGTATTATATACACGTTAATTATTATTATCCGAAGTTAATCAAAGTTATCACCGATCACCAATCATTATTTCACTCCAAGACGTCGCGTGTGGAGACGCCCAGTGGAGTTACTACGTCACAACTCCAGTCTATTTTAGCCGGCATTTTAGCGTCTGCTACTGATTCACAGCCATTTGAATGTAGAAATACTCAGAAATACAACTTTGAGCTTATTTTTCTCAAGATATGTCCTCTAACATCAGAAAAAATGCCACAAGAACATGTTAACACCTAGAAAAACATTATTTTCATCGGAGTGGGTCTTTAAAGAGATACTGCACCCAGAAATAAAAATTCTGTCATTATTTACTCACTCTAATGTTGTTCCAAAACTGTATTCATTTCTTTCTTGTGCTTAAATATACTATGGAAGTCACTGGAGTACAGCAACTGTTTGGTTAGCCACATTCTTCCAAATAACTTTTATTTTCAACAGAAGAAAGAAACTTGAGAGAGTAAATGATGACAATTAAAATTTTTGGGAGAACTATCCCTTAAATGGTAATAAAACAACAAAACACAGAGTAAATCACTCACTGCTCTTGACTGAGAACTTTAATAGAAGATTTAATAAGCTTTTTTGCACTTAAAAAAAATACAAATATATCGGTATCGGCATCAGGCAAAATTAGTTTGAAAATATTGATATATCGAATATCGGCCAAAATCCAATATCGTGCATCCCTAGTAGTGATGTATGTCTCGAGACCGGTCTTGGTCTCGAGACTGGTCTCAAGACCACTTTTACGTGGTCTCGGTCTTGTCACGGCCTTGACGGTCTTTGGTCTTGGTCTCGAACCTCTCGGTCTTGTCTAGGTCTCGTTGTCTCAGACCGACATAGTGGTCGGGGGATTTAGCAATACAATACTACAATATCCACGACGATATCCGCAACGGATTGAAGCGCGCGTCCGAGTGAAGACCGTGCGGTGTGCGCGAGCCACACGAGAAAACACCGTATCCGCGCCACTGATCGCAGCGGCAACGAGCACTTTGATCACTTGATTTAAAAAACACATATCATGTACAGTTTTTGATGTTTTAATGTTTAGTAAAACACATATCAGTGACATGATGGGTTTTAACTTCATTCAGGAGATTTTGGGTAACTGCACAACTGACAGATGACTTCGAGTGCACCGCCAACACACCGTTTTATGTGTGTGTGTGTGTGTGTGTAACCATAGCGACAAAACAACCAACTTTCGGATCCTGCACTTTTAAAGGAACACTCCACCGTTTTTTTAAATAGGGCTTATTCACATTCTTTCCTACATTTAGATATGTGTGCAAATGCATTTTTGTCTCAGTGCATGCATTGTTTTAGTTTGACAGGGTCGGTGCTAGCTTAGCTTTGCACAATGAATGGAATCCTTTGTTGCCAGCTAGCATGTCCTGAGTAAAAGTGATAAAAACCCACGTAATTACTTCTTGTGGCCTGTGTATTCACAACGAGTACAAATAGCGATGCAGATTAAAACTAGGCGATTTCCTAGGCAGATATTGACTTGGGACTATATTAGGGGGAAGCACAGGCGAAGCACTGCTGCTTATGCGAAGCACTGCTACTTCGGCGCAGAGATATCACGCATATCTCGACTTGGTCTCGGTCTTGGTCTCGACTTGGTCTCGGTCTTGGTCTCGACTTGGTCTCGGTTTTGGTCTCGACTTGGTCTCGGTCTTGGTCTCGACTTGATCTCGGTTTTGGTCTCGACTTGGTCTCGATTTTGGTCTCGACTTGGTCTCGGTCTTGGTCTCGACTTGGTCTCGGTCTTGGTCTCGACTTGGTCTCGGTCTTGGTCTCGACTTGGTCTCGGTTTTGGTCTCGACTTGGTCTCGGTCTTGGTCTCGACTTGGTCTCGGTCTTGGTCTCGACTTGGTCTCGGTTTTGGTCTCGACTTGGTCTCGGTTTTGGTCTCGACTTGGTCTCGGTCTTGGTCTCGACTTGGTCTCGGTCTTGGTCTGTCTAGGTCTTTATCTCGTCTTGGTCTCGGTCTTGGTCTCGACTTGGTCTCGGTCTTGGTCTCGGCTCGGTCTTGGTCTGTCTTGGTCTTGGTCTCGTTTTGGTCTCGGTTTAGGTGGTCTTGACTACAAGTCTAGTAATTAGTAATTTGTAGTTGATTACTTTTTTTGAGTAACTTACCCAACACTGGTCATAAAATAATATACTACTTTAGATCTAGCTCTAATAAATAAAACATGTGAAACTGATATTTAACTCACTGTAGACAATGAGATGAATATAAGAAGGCTTCCAGTCATGGTAGAACTGACGTTTATAATCTCCAGCGTGTTTCATTGTGATGTTTGTGATGGCCAGAGATTCAGTTTGATTGTCCACCTTCAGTCTGTTTCTGAATCTCCCATCAAGAACATCATCATATACAGTGATTCTGTCGGCCCGTTTATAGATTTCAGCTATTAAACCATTTTCACTCCTAAAAACCCACCGAAGCACTTCATCCTTTATAACACCCAAGTTTAGAGTGACTGAATCTCCCTCCGTCACTGACACTGAATCATCAAACACACAGAACAAACAGAAACAGGGTCACAGATAAACAGGTTATAATGGTTTATTAAATTAAATTGTACACAATTTTAACTTAATATAAAAAATATCATAAAACAACAAAAAGAAACAAAATGGTGTATGAATTAATTAAAATAAAATGTTTTTTGAACTCACCAATGACAGTGAGATCGAAACAAACCCTCATAGAGTTGATCTGTAGTTCATAATATCCAGCGTGTTCAGTTGTGGTGTGTGTGATGGTCAGAGATCCAGTTTGATGATCCAGCTTCAGTCTGTCTCTGAATCTCCCATCAAGAACATCATCATATACAGTGAAACTTTCGGACCGTTTATAGATTTCAGCTATTAAAGGTTTTTTATATCCAAACCTCCACTGAATCACATCATCATCCTTCATTTCAGTAAGACCAGAGTTCAGAGTGACTGAATCTCCCTCCTTCACTGACCTTTTCTTCACTTCTGGAACTGAATCATCAAACACACAGAACAAACAGAAACGGGCTCAACACAGATTAAGACAGTCATTTACAAAAGTAAATGGTTTTAAATTTGAAATTAATCTCATCATTAAACCACAGAAGCTAAATTGATTTTGGATTAATAATTGTATCTTTGTGCTGATTAAAATATAAAACAGGTGAAACTGATGTTTAACTCACCAGTGACAGTAAGAGTAAAATCCTTTCTCACACTGTTGATCTGTATATCATAATATCCAGCATGTTCAGTTGTGGTGTGTGTGATGGTCAGAGATCCAGTTTGATTGTCCAGCTTCAGTCTGTTTCTGAATCTCCCATCAAGAACATCATCATATACAGTGAATCTGTCGGCGGTTACATTGATTTCAGCTATCACAGTGTTACTAATCCAAAACCTCCACAGAATCACATCATCATCCTTCATTTCAGTGAGACCAGAGTTCAGAGTGACTGAATTTCCCTCCATCACTGATATTTTAACTGAAACACCAAACACACCTGAAGAACAGAGTTGTTCAGATTTAAGCTTTAAAATCACTTGATGTTGGTTTTATGAAGCTTTACTAAAACACTTTTATTCATTTAAATGTGAAGTTAATATTCTGCAGCAGCACAAAAGATGAATGAAAAGTGAAATATTTATGTGTTACGTCTGTGTCATATTTTGGTTGTGTTTAGTTAGTCTGTCACTTAATCTACACAATGCAACACGTTAGAGTTTGAGTTGTTTATACACATCAGGTAAGGAGCGGCTGCTATCTCATGTATTTATGTTTGTTATTTAGTGTAGTTTAGATGGCGATTCGTTGCCGGAGAATTGTTTATTTTCATATTTGTGTATTGTTATTTTCATAATTGTATATTGTTAGTTTAGGAATATTAAAGGGGTTAACCCAGGTAGAAGGTGACGTTCCCGCGACTATGGGTAACGTTTCCTAAAAGTTCTCTAAAGGTGACGAACATTCCGAACCTTTACAGAACATTAGGGACGTTCCTGAAACGTCCTCTTTTGTTAATGAAAGTGCTGCAACGTTCCTTAAATTACTTTAGGGGGACGTTCCGTAATGGTAATCTTATGGTCACATAACAACGTTACAAAGAGGACGTAATCAAAACGTTCTCATATGGGTCTAAGTTGGTCCTATTATAACGTTCCTTATAGGACTTTAGGGGGACGTTCCGTAATGGTAATCTTATGGTCACATAACAACGTTACAAAAAGGACGTAATCAAAACGTTCTCATATGGGTCTAAGTTGGTCCTATTATAACGTTCCTTATAGGACTTTAGGGGGACGTTCCGTAATGGTAATCTTATGGTCACATAACAACGTTACAAAGAGGACGTAATCAAAACGTTCTCATATGGGTCTAAGATTGGTCCTATTATAACGTTCCTTATAGGACTTTAGGGTGACGTTCCGTAATGGTAATCTTATGGTCACATAACAACGTTACAAAGAGGACGTAATCAAAACGTTCTCATATGGGTCTAAGTTGGTCCTATTATAACGTTCCTTATAGGACTTCAGGGGGACGTTCCGTAATGGTAATCTTATGGTCACATAACAACGTTACAAAGAGGACGTAATCAAAACGTTCTCATATGGGTCTAAGATTGGTCCTATTATAACGTTCCTTATAGGACTTTAGGGTGACGTTCCGTAATGGTAATCTTATGGTCACATAACAACGTTACAAAGAGGACGTAATCAAAACGTTCTCATATGGGTCTAAGTTGGTCCTATTATAACGTTCCTTATAGGACTTTAGGGGGACGTTCCGTAATGGTAATCTTATGGTCACATAACAACGTTACAAAGAGGACGTAATCAAAACGTTCTCATATGGGTCTAAGTTGGTCCTATTATAACGTTCCTTATAGGACTTTAGGGTGACGTTCCGTAATGGTAATCTTATGGTCACATAACAACGTTACAAAGAGGACGTAATCAAAACGTTCTCATATGGGTCTAAGTTGGTCCTATTATAACGTTCCTTATAGGACTTTAGGGGGACGTTCCGTAATAGTAATCTTATGGTCATATAACAACGTTACAAAGAGGATGTAATCAAAACGTTCTCATATGGGTCTAAGATTGGTCCTATTATAACGTTCCTTATAGGACTTTAGGGTGACGTTCCGTAATGGTAATCTTATGGTCACATAACAACGTTACAAAGAGGACGTAATCAAAACGTTCTCATATGGGTCTAAGTTGGTCCTATTATAACGTTCCTTATAGGACTTTAGGGGGACGTTCCGTAATGGTAATCTTATGGTCACATAACAACGTTACAAAGAGGACGTAATCAAAACGTTCTCATATGGGTCTAAGTTGGTCCTATTATAACGTTCCTTATAGGACTTTAGGGTGACGTTCCGTAATGGTAATCTTATGGTCACATAACAACGTTACAAAGAGGACGTAATCAAAACGTTCTCATATGGGTCTAAGTTGGTCCTATTATAACGTTCCTTATAGGACTTTAGGGTGACGTTCCGTAATGGTAATCTTATGGTCACATAACAACGTTACAAAGAGGACGTAATCAAAACGTTCTCATATGGGTCTAAGTTGGTCCTATTATAACGTTCCTTATAGGACTTTAGGGGGACAATACGTAATAGTAATCTTATGGTCATATAACAACGTTACAAAGAGGATGTAATCAAAACGTTCTCATATGGGTCTAAGATTGGTCCTATTATAACGTTCCTTATAGGACTTTAGGGTGACGTTCTGTAATGGTAATCTTATGGTCACATAACAACGTTACAAAGAGGACGTAATCAAAACGTTCTCATATGGGTCTAAGTTGGTCCTATTATAACGTTCCTTATAGGACTTTAGGGTGACGTTCCGTAATGGTAATCTTATGGTCACATAACAACGTTACAAAGAGGACGTAATCAAAACGTTCTCATATGGGTCTAAGTTGGTCCTATTATAACGTTCCTTATAGGACTTTAGGGGGACAATACGTAATAGTAATCTTATGGTCATATAACAACGTTACAAAGAGGATGTAATCAAAACGTTCTCATATGGGTCTAAGATTGGTCCTATTATAACGTTCCTTATAGGACTTTAGGGTGACGTTCCGTAATGGTAATCTTATGGTCACATAACAACGTTACAAAGAGGACGTAATCAAAACGTTCTCATATGGGTCTAAGTTGGTCCTATTATAACGTTCCTTATAGGACTTTAGGGGGACGTTCCGTAATGGTAATCTTATGGTCACATAACAACGTTACAAAGAGGACGTAATCAAAACGTTCTCATATGGGTCTAAGTTGGTCTTATTATAACGTTCCTTATAGGACTTTAGGGTGACGTTCCGTAATGGTAATCTTATGGTCACATAACAACGTTACAAAGAGGACGTAATCAAAACGTTCTCATATGGGTCTAAGTTGGTCCTATTATAACGTTCCTTATAGGACTTTAGGGGGACGTTCCGTAATAGTAATCTTATGGTCATATAACAACGTTACAAAGAGGATGCAATCAAAACGTTCTCATATGGGTCTAAGATTGGTCCTATTTGTCACGGTTCACAGGTTCACTCTCATTCTGTGTGTTACTGCTCTGATCTGATTGCCCATGAGCGTCAGCTGTGCTGACGAGCAATCAGATCAGTCGCAGGTGTACCTCGTTTGTGAGTCCTATATGTAGTGCTGTGTTTGTCATGTTCAGTGTCAGATCGTTGTTTCCCTGGTCCTGTTCGGGTCTCATGTTTGTTTTCAGTCTCGTCCTCAGTTCCTGTTTTCACGGATTCCTGCAGCTCTCTGCCAGCCCTTTCACTCTGCTTCAGTGGATTATCTGGTCCGTGTCGTTTTCACTCTGCTCCAGTGGATTATCTGATCCGTGTCGTTTTCACTCTGCTTCAGTGGATTCTGGTCTGTGTCGTTTTCACTCTGCTTCAGTGGATTATCTGGCTCGTGTCGGACGTACTGGGTTCCGGGACCACGCTTCTCCCACTGCAGTCATCTGCGCTGCCAAGGCTCAGCTGTCTGACTCAGGACTTCACCAGCCCTCCAGTTTCACTGTTCACTGTGTTTATTAATAAATACTTTTTTACTTGCAATTGGATCCTGTGATTCCTACCCTGACACTATTATAACGTTCCTTATAGGACTTTAGGGTGACGTTCCGTAATGGTAATCTTATGGTCACATAACAACGTTACAAAGAGGAAGTAATCAAAACGTTCTCATATGGGTCTAAGTTGGTCCTATTATAACGTTCCTTATAGGACTTTAGGGTGACGTTCCGTAATGGTAATCTTATGGTCACATAACAACGTTACAAAGAGGACGTAATCAAAACGTTCTCATATGGGTCTAAGTTGGTCCTATTATAACGTTCCTTATAGGACTTTAGGGGGACGTTCCGTAATGGTAATCTTATGGTCACATAACAACGTTACAAAGAGGACGTAATCAAAACGTTCTCATATGGGTCTAAGTTGGTCCTATTATAACGTTCCTTATAGGACTTTAGGGTGACGTTCCGTAATGGTAATCTTATGGTCACATAACAACGTTACAAAGAGGACGTAATCAAAACGTTCTCATATGGGTCTAAGTTGGTCCTATTATAACGTTCCTTATAGGACTTTAGGGTGACGTTCCGTAATGGTAATCTTATGGTCACATAACAACGTTACAAAGAGGACGTAATCAAAACGTTCTCATATGGGTCTAAGTTGGTCCTATTATAACGTTCCTTATAGGACTTTAGGGGGACGTTCCGTAATGGTAATCTTATGGTCACATAACAACGTTACAAAGAGGACGTAATCAAAACGTTCTCATATGGGTCTAAGATTGGTCCTATTATAACGTTCCTTATAGGACTTTAGGGGGACGTTCCGTAATGGTAATCTTATGGTCACATAACAACGTTACAAAGAGGATGTAATCAAAACGTTCTCATATGGGTCTAAGTTGGTCCTATTATAACGTTCCTTATAGGACTTTAGGGTGACGTTCCGTAATGGTAATCTTATGGTCACATAACAACGTTACAAAGGGGACGTAATCAAAACGTTCTCATATGGGTCTAAGTTGGTCATATTATAACGTTCCTTATAGGACTTTAGGGTGACGTTCCGTAATGGTAATGTTATGGTCACATAACAACGTTACAAAGAGGATGTAATCAAAACGTTCTCATATGGGTCTAAGTTGGTCCTATTATAACGTTCCTTATAGGACTTTAGGGTGACGTTCCGTAATGGTAATGTTATGGTCACATAACAACGTTACAAAGAGGATGTAATCAAAAGGTTCTCATATGGGTCTAAGTTGGTCATAAAATGACGTTCTTTATGTGACTTTAGGGGAACGTTCCAAATTGGTTATTTTATTGTCACATAGCAACATTACAAAGAGGACATAATAAGGACGTTCCCATATGGTTCTCTGTTGACCATATGAGAACGTTTTGTGACTAAC